TCCTGAATAGCCAACGTGAAACTGTGCTTATCTTGTGACTCAAAATCCCTGTACATTAAGATAATATATAAACCCGCCTTGGGATATTTCGGATATATCGAGATTGACCCGAATCTGTTGGCTGTGACGGATACATCGGTAAATATGAAGTAACTGATGCTTTCTTGACCCCTTAACTCTAGTCCTTGCCTTAGGTTTAATCGGATATTTGTCAACTACAACATGGTTATTCTTGAACATTCGAGTATTCTTGCCGACCACAAGGCTTCTCAAGAGTTACTATCATATACACCAGTTAATGGCACCAACTGACGGGCTCTATCTGATCACTAACCACAGGTTGGATTAGTTGTGCTAATAAGGAGCGCTTGGAAGATTTTCGAGGCCTTTGTACGTGTTGCATCCATAAAGTCGAAATGCTTGAAGCAATCAGAAACAAGATTCCGGTCTATGGTCTAGTAACGGAAGTAGCTAGTGGCGTGGCGTAGGTATTTCCCATTGGCCTCAACGCCCCCGTTTCCATACCTTCGCTCTCTTTCCGTAACATTCATTCATCATTTACAAACTGGAACTTGGTTTAATCTCCTAATTACATAGCCTTTCTATCTTGGTGGATATTTAAAGAAGAGTCTGCATACCAACTTCCTTATGCTTCAAGTTGACGTTTTGTCAAAAAAGAAAACAATATTAAAATCCAGAAGCACGAAACTCGCGTGTTCATGCACTATAAAATTGGCTTTCTCTTTATCTTGCTTCAATTTAAAGATAAATGTAACAATATCTACACCTAACCGGGCTTTATGAATATTTATAAGGGGGGAAGAACACAAATGTAACGAGAGCATATGTGCTCACTGTCTGCGTTGACTGGGATTTGATTCTATATTGAAGGGATTTAAGTAGAGACGGAGGCACATTGTGATTTTGTAATTTAGCATAGGGACCAGAATTCATCTATTATAACAAATACCACTAATAAGAATTGGGCCATCATGATATCCTGCAATTTATGCTTTGCCTTGTGTAGGTAGTCTTGGGAGACAACCATCATGGATGACTAAGGCGAGGTGGTGGCGACGACGCGTCTCCCCACCATTTGATTTCAACTCAGCATCTCCCGTCGACGAGCTGCATCATCACTGCATCGACTGTCAAGTCTTCAACCTATCCTCCGAGACGCCATGTCGTCGACTAGCATCGAACGTGGGGGCGGCGACGAGGAGCAGCCTCTGCTTAGGCATAGGCGGCCACCGTTTCATGCCTTGAACCTACAACATTGGTACTCATCCCCAATCGACACAGAGCGGTGGGCCATGCAGAGTACTAGAGAGAAGGTCAAGCGATTTCTCTCTTCGAAGGCCGGTCACTATTCTGTGCTTACCCTGGTGTCCCTCGACGTTCTTGGCATGATTGCCGGTATGCTATGCCCTGTTCCGTCTTGCTCTTTGAATGGCTAAATTCTAAATGACCACCTCACCTTAGATTTTGTTCTGAGGCTTTTCCAATGTGAGCAAGGCAAGAGTGGCTACGACTGGGACCTTGCGTTGGATATTCTAGGCGCTCTTGGCCTGGGATTCTCGTGCCTCTTCATGATAGAGTTAATTGCCTCAATATGGGCATTTGGATACAGGTACATCTTTTTAATTACCCATCCAGCCCTCACAGCTCGGCGAGGTTTTGTGATATAAATTTATCCTAACGAGGTTAGATATTTCACTTCTTGGTTCCATTGCTTCGACGCCTTCATCGTCGTGGCAGGCTTCATCACTGATGTTGTGCTGCACGGTGTCATAGAGGAGGTTGCCTCCTTCATCGTTGTGTTGCGTCTTTGGAGAGTTGTCAAGATTATCGAAGAACTCGGGGTTGGCGAACAGGAGCGGGCAGAGGAGTCTCAGCGTAGAATTGATGAGCTGGGGAGTGAAGTTGACCTCCTTCGGAAAGAGTTGGCTGGTCTCAAGCAGCAGTTGGATAAAGCCGGCACACGTGTAGGAGACGATGACACGACTCGTAGCTCGCGCTGATAATGTCTTCCAACTTTCTGTAGAAGAGTGGGCTCGATTCGAGCCCTATTCCAATATATTTTGTTGACCTCCCTTGGCGCCACACATCCCCCTTCTGCTCAATGCCTATTCCCTTGTGTTATAAGGAACTTTAGTGATACTGATACGTAATCAACCAATCTACTTCGTTCTCTGTAGTTTGGGAGAAATTCTAACCCGTAGATGCATTCCGCAAGGAGATAATCTCGAGCTGAATTCACCCAGCTATCGTTCCAAGATTCTGCGGGCGTTGAGAATGAATAAAGTCGGATGAGCATGACAAGTTAATTACAAATAGCTGAACAAATGCTCGCACTTCGGAAATCTTCCAAAGTCCCTATTTTACGAGGAATTACAGCTCCGCCTTGGAGGTTAAGGCCGAAAACCCACTCTAGTTGACGCCGGATTTCACGGTGGTGAGGAATTACGGCCCCATCCCCAGCTCTAAGTCCGAAGTCCGTCCACGGCCGTGCTAGAATGTGGTTACCGTTCTGTAACTCCAACCAGACTATATATTGTACTCAAATTCCTCCTTCAGTAGTTTTAGTAAATCTCAAGTTCTTCGTCAGTAACATTTTCAACGATAATATTCCAAAACCAGCCGCCATTTCACAAGTTTCAAGATGTCAACTCCGTCGTACGCCAAAGATCAACCCGCCGGCTTCACCAACCGTATCGAACGTGTTGCAATTGTTGGAGTAGGTTGTCCAAAATTAACATCATTTTTTTCTAGTCGGATCTCTAACGATGCATCTTCCCATAGGCAGGAGGGAAAATCGGAAAGCCCATCACCGATGCCCTAGTTGCAGCGGGAAAACACACTGTCACAGTTCTCACTCGAGAGGATAGTCAAAATGAGCTCCCCAGTGGAGTAAACGTTGCACGAGTCAACTATGAGAATGAAGAGTCCGTCATTGCGGCTCTGAGGGGCCAGCAATTCCTCATCATTGTCATGGCAGCTACTGCTCCTCCCGGAAGCCAGGAGAAGCTCATTGCTGCTGCCGCCAAGGCAGGCGTCCCATGGGTCATGCCCAGCGCTTATGGTTCTGATATCTACAACGAGTCGCTGGGTAAAGATACCATGCTAGGTCCAGGAATCAAATCAAGCATAAAGGCCGTCGAGGACGGGGGCGTTTCCTCTTGGATTGCCCTGACATGTGGTACTTGGTTTGAGTTCTCACTGGCCATGGGCCCCTGGTGGTTCGGGATTGATTTTGCCAATAAGAAAGTTGAGCAGTGCGATGATGGAAATACGCTTATCAACACGTCTACATGGGAACAGTGTGGCCGTGCCATCGCCAGTCTCCTCAGTCTCAAGGAGCTACCTGACGATGAGGAGGACAAGTCTCCCTCTATTTCTCGATGGCGTAATCGAGCTCTTACCATTTCAAGCTTCCAGATCTCGCAAAGAGATATTCTAGATAGCGTCAACCGTGTTAAGGGGTTGACAGACGCAGACTGGCAGATTCAGCGCGAGCCTTCCAAAGTGCGGTATCAAAGAGGTCTAGATCTCCTAAAGAGCGGAAACCGACTTGGGTTTGCGCTGGCTTTATACGCCAGAATATTTTACCCTGATGGTGGCGCCAATCATGAAGCCACACAGGCCCTCGATAATGAGATTCTTGGTTTACCCAAGGAGGACCTTGACGAGGCGACGAGAAGAGCTATTGGGATGGTGGATACAGGATTCAATCAATTGGGTGATTATGCAGCGAAGTATCCTATTGAGTCTAACAGTAGCTAGACAAAGCATGTTTAAGTACCAAAGAAATTTTCAGACTTGGTTCGGCTCAATTCATTAATTCAGTGCGAATCCGAGGGAACTGGCGTCCCCTCTGATTGCGTAGATAGTGGACCATCTCAGCCTCAGCCGAGCACATTGTTCTAGTTAGATAGTTGGGCAATCAGGGCTCCAAAGATATCTCTTTAACTCCTTAACTCTCACATAATAACCACCAGCAATTCGGTGGTAGTTTGCAGCTAACCTTGGGTATTTTGGTGACTGTCGATATGTAGGGGTGTGTGGATGCCTGCCTGGACGGGACGTTGGTCGCAACAAATTTACCAAGTGCGGACGCTCCTGTAGCCTGGTAAAATAAAATGAACCTTTTTTCCATTCCGTCGCTCTGCTTTCCTTCGATCTTACATCGCTTCGAAGGGTATGCAAGCTGGTATTTGAGTTGATGGTACCGCCTACTCCGACTGTTTGGGGTCGTGTTGTTATCCAGTGATCGCCATCGACAAGAACAAAAAAAGCTCTTAGACCTGCCGACATCAACCCGCAGAGGTACAGATAAACCGGTCATCAGATGCCCAGTTCATCAGACAGGTCGTGGCGTGAACGAGGCCGTCGACAACCTGATGAGCGGAACTGGCCCCAAACCATTATCATTTGGATCCTCCTTCCAGCGTTTGTCTCCTATGTGATTTGGGACTACTTTGAAAACTATCCTCGGGATAGATTTTCCATAAGCGAGAGACCGGTGCGGCCACTAAATGGAAGCGTTGTCTACGAAAACGAAACCATTCCGTGGACACCATGCGGAGATGTGGACGGCCACTTACTCGAGTGCGGATCCATCGAGGTGCCTCTGGATCAGTTCGATTCAAAATTCTCAGCGGGAAAGTTCGGGTTCGATATTTCCGTCATCCGTTTGCGAGGCCGCAATGCAGGACACGGCCGGAACCTCTTGATTCATCCTGGAAACCCTGGAGATAGCGGTATGGGCTTCATGCATAATCACGGGGGGTCATCTGAGCACCATCATCGGAGAAGAGCATCATATTGTCTCCTTCGACACTCGAGGCTTGAACTCGTCATGGCCCCAGGTCAAGTGCTTTCGACGGGATAATGACCGAAAGAAGTATCTCAGTCTGTGGTACAAATACATCAAGAGCAAAGAAGACGTCGATGTTAGTTGGGAAAAGGCCCGGGAGTTTGTGAAGGCTTGTGAGACGAACATGGGCCAACACGGCAAATACACCAACTCGCTGCAAATCGCAGCTGACATGGACGCTATCCGCAAAGGCCTGGGTCAGGATACGCTCAACTTTTGGGGACTCAGCTATGGAGGTGTCCTTGGACATACATACTCTGTCTTGTTTCCTGACAGAGTTGGACATGTGATCCTCGACGGCTCTCTCCACCCCTGGAAATGGTTCAGTCATCGTGCATTTGGTGAGCTTGGTGACAACGCCACCAACTGTCTTGCATCGTTCATCCACAGGTGTCACTCAAACAGGGCGAGATGCCCGTTCGAGCCACTTCCTGATGATGACGAGGCTTCGGGCCGAGGCGCTCTCAATTGTTGAGAAAATTGAAGCTCTCAAGACTCCAACCAAGGTGCGGCTCAACAGCACCCACCATGGCCTTATTGGGAGACTGGATCTTTGGACCAAAGGTATAATCCCCGCGATGGGAAGTCCACTCAAGTGGCACGATTTTGCCAACCGGCTTGCAAGCCTGATGCGTGGAGATGCCAAGGAAGCATTCTTGGCATATGGGACTTATGACGAGCCGCCCTTTGACGGCCTTGAAATGAATGATTATCACGACCTTGTTGCTCTGAATGATGCCGCAGACGGAGAGTGGAATGGCGAGGACTGGACTGATGCGTTTACGATGAGCAAAGACATCACAGCTTTCCTCACAGCTTACTTAGTTCTCAACCCGACGTACCTCGTCGAATTCGAGCGCTTTTTGCAAGCGACGCAATGGCGCAATACCCTGACCAACCCCGCGATGAGGGGGCATCGACCCGAAGAAGAGCCCGGCACCCCTATGCTGTTTATTTCGACTGGTGAACCCTACCTTGATCATGATCTTTCCAGGCTTGCCAGCAATGAATGGCTCGTCGTCATAGAGGGGGGCCATGGGGGTCACACCAGCATAAGCATGCCATCCAAGTGCGCGGCACTGGCGATCCGCGAATATCTAGACGGCCGCCCCCCAACAAGCCAGGTTGTTTCCGAATGGGAAAGCCACGTTTGCCGCGTGGACGGTCCAGAGTTCGTACATCCTGATGAGCTGGAGACAAATGCTCGAGAGATTGTTGGGGACAATGAGGAGGATGTTCGTCTTTACCTTGCGCAGGTGGCGCTTGCTCGAGATACGAATTGGAGAGTCCCGTGTCATTTGACAGTACCACCTGACGAAAGAGTATACCAAGAGCACAAGGCCATATTGCGGCGATTCCTACAAGAGCACCAGAGAGAGGTGACCGTTAGCACGTGGCTGCTCAATCTCGGGTCGATCTGATTGGTCCCTATTGTTAGTCGCGGCTACAGTGCTTATCGATACCACCTTGAAGCTGAGATTTATGTGGTTACATAGCGATACATTGCGGTGAATTTCCTGTAAGAAATCACGTCTTTCTTCCATTGCAATTGAGGAAATTGCGTCAAAATGGCAGGGAAATGAATACGCACAATGCTACCTTCTTTGCTTATTCTGAGATGCTGCTGCGTGGGGAAAAAACTGCGTGCATGAAATTGAAATTGTGCGGGCGATCGCTAAAAACAGGGGCCCTCCCCCTGGAAGACCCCCAGCCAGCACCTAGCAAGCACTAACCTGACTGGCGAGCAGGAACACCCCGCTGACTCACCCCTTCAGCCTTGCCGGTCTAAATATAGCGACAGGTGCAGGCGGCCTGGTCCAGCGGCTGGGGCCAGACACGCACTAAAGTCCCCTCTCGCACTAGGCTGGTCGCTTTCCGGCGTCTTGATTGACTGAGGCTCGCCAGAGCTGACTGCCGCTGAAAAGCTGACGCCGCAAACAGCTGCTAAGTCGGTAGCTGACGGTCGGGGAGCTACGTGTGTCCTGGATCCCCACATCTCGTTGAGCCCAGCCCCATCCCAGAAACACCAGCACTGCCATCCTCCTGCCCAGCTTCAACCCCGTTCAATTGACCACCGCCACCACCACCGCCTCACCCTACCCACGGCCCTCGTCCTACATTGCTCATTGATACCCGTCTCCCTGCTTGCAGCCTGTCGCTCGTTTCTGCATCCTTGCTTCAGCCACTCGACCCGCGACCGCATAATATAATACAACCACGCGTACCGACCTCCAGCCTCTTCTCCTCCGCCTCCCTCCATCTCCGCTCTTGTCTCTCGCCTTCGCCGACTCGCAGCCCAGAGCCAGCATCCTGCCCTATGCCCGCCGAGGACGTCGAATCCCGCAGGCTGTTAGCAGGCAGCGACATGACCTCCCAGCACGATCCGTACGCGAGCCAGTTCTACGCACAACCACCCATCGACTACCCACCGACGCCCGGCTTTCCTGGCGCACCAGGCCATCCTTCCGGTCCCGCGCCTGGCTACGCTCCAGGTCACGGCCCCGATATGTACGGACCGCCAGCAGAGTCTGGAAGCCATCTCGCACCTGTTGCGACCCTTCCTGGCTATACCCCGGTGATGAATCCGGCAGCAGGCCCTCAGAAGCCTGGCGATGGAGCGGCCACAAGCGCCAACAGGTTTCGCCTTCGTCTCACCAATGCTCTGCGGATCAAGATGAATTGGCGCGACATCTTGAGCAGGAAATGGGCCGTGGCCTTTATCTGCATTGTGGCTCTCCAGGCTGTCATCTGCTTGACTTTCGAGACGTAAGCTTGCCTCCCATTCTTTGCTACCTGTGCAAGACTCTGACCTTTTCCCTAGCTATATCTACCTGAAAATCAAATCGAACCTCAAGAGCGACATCCGTAACGACTTCCAAAAACAAATCAACGTCATTCCGACCTTCCTCCCCCTCTTCTACTTCGGCTTCGTCTACCAAAATATCCTGGTTTGGGATTCCCTGCGAGCTAAGAACACCATCCAGATCATCGGCGTGTGCTTTGCCAACCTGGCACTCGTTGTGTATACCGCTGTCCAAGTCGACCAGACCCGCACTTCTCTAAAAGATATGGAGGACGACAAGGATAGGGAGCTGGCTGACGGAGTCGATGACGAGGCCGTGTTTGCCAGCATCAGGGCCCTCTTGTTCACCACGCCAGTCCTTCTGACTGTGGGTACCATGGGCATCGCGCTCTGCACGTGGCAGCTCTACAAAGTGTTTGCATGGGATACTCTCAAGGTCGTCGGCGCCGATTACAAGATGAAGAAGCGCTACATGTACCACCAGGTTGGTTCCCACTCTCTACACTGAGCCTCGATATTCTGTGCTAACCATGATCCAAACAGATTTACATCGCTCTCCTCAAAATCGACTTCTTCTTCTGGATGGCCTTCATCATTCAGCTCGTCTCCAGTACACCATCGAACGACGTCGAGTTCGCACTCTCGATCGCCGCCATCCCCGTCACCATTGGCATCATCGTCCTCGCCGCTTTTTCCGCCAAGAGAGAAAATATCTGGGGCATGGTCATCACCATCATACTCTACTTTGGAGGCCTGGCGTACTTTGCGTACAAGACGTACCGAATCGGCTCCGACGCGGAGACGTGGTACCTGTACATGAAGAAGCCGCTCATCACCTTTGCCGTCTTGACAATTGTGATGATCCTGGTCACCATTGTCATCGCCATCATCGTCATCACTGGCTTTGGCAAGGGTCTAAAGAACTATTTCGAAACGCCAACGTCCGACGAGGAGGGCGACGGCAAGGACGCGTTCAACATGACCGGCACGGGCAACAACCGACACAGCCGCATCACCATCGATTAACGACATTCTAGGAATTCATCCGTGCTCCCACGCACATGGCAGGATAGAACCTGGCACGGGGAAAAAATTGACATGTAATTTGATGATTTACATGAGGATCAAGGAATCTAATTTGGCGTTTGGATATTTGGGTAACGGCCGATCCAGGGCATCAACTTTTGCATACTTCATTCATTCACACATAAGATAGCATTGGGTAGAGGCTCATCATGAGAGGCGTTCCATGTGGGTACTATTTGATTAATTCATTTGGATTTCAACCAAAGCAGAGCTCGTAAAGAGGTCTCAGCCCTACTGTTTCACAATAACATGGAGATGAACCCCCTGTCCCTTCTCCTTTCCCTACATTACAGTCATCCAAACCCGAAGCTGCCTGGATTCTACGCCTCATTGGATCAATGTCACATCGCGACGGCGGTGGCGAGTGCGGCGGCCCGTCAGGCAGACCGCTTGGCATCTTCCCTCTGCCTCGGCGGCTAATTTGGTCATCCCGCCAGACTACTTCGTGGCTGTGCTGGCGGCTGTTCATCCCCACACGCGAGACATCGATCATACGCACTGGCGTTCATGATGGATGCTAACTAGATGTACGTTTTATTAGGCAAATTATGTAGCGGTAGCTATTCTCACTCTTGACGGCTCGCGCCGATAGTACATTTCGGCTGTTCGGCAGCGAGATCCAGGCTAGATTCAATATCCATCTGCTTCCCTCCACGCAACTGTCATCGATCCCCGTGCCCCATCACCCCGCCCAAGACGTGTTATCCGGTTCCCAAGTGCAACGATAGTGTCTGCGCCGGAGCAGCATTTGTGGACAAGGCGTTCAGAGAACGGCAATTCCTGTGCCGGCAGATGAGGCTAAGAAAAGTGTTGATTTCGGTGCGGCGCCAAATCCCTTGACAATGCCATCCAGCACAGCCGCAGCCCAGCCACATACCTTTGTCCAACAATGGCACACTCGGGATTTAAGCTTCAATCCTATGGTTGCTGTCGTTAAGCGAGATGTACCCTCGTACCATCACATTCCTATGAGGCTGCACTTTGTCGTTAACGCCACAATGACAATCTACGCCTTCTGAATCTCCAGCGCCCGGGCAAGCTCCTCCACCGCAATGCCATACGACCGCTCCTTGAGCTCCCACAGGTGCGAACCCTCAGCAGGCCCCTTATCATACCCGTGCGGAGCATCCTCCAACTCCATGTGCGTGACCCTCCGCGTGCCGTCATCAAGCACCTTGGCCAGCTCGTTGCCCTCGGGCGCGAGCACATCCCCCGAGGCGGTGAAGATGACCACCGACGCCGGGAACAGCGCCGGGTCGGCGAACCGCGGCGACACGAGGGGGTCCTGGCGCGTGCTCACGTCGGGGGCGTAGTTGTCGTAGAACATGTGCAGCAGCTTGGGGGGCATGGCCTTGATCGGGTTGGGGACGACTTTCTTCTCGGGGGCCTCGGCGAGGTCGGTGCCCGGGTAGAAGAGCACGACGCTCCGGACGTGGAGGGTCTCGAGGCGGGCGTTCAGAGACGAGGCTGCGACGAGGGCCACGACGCCGCCTGAGCTGCCGCCGGACAGGGCGACGCGGGTGACGTCGAACTGGGAGGGCCGGGCCTCGACGTACCGCATCACGTCCTCGGCGTCGTGGATGGCGGCGGGGAAGGGGTCCTCGGGACCCTTGCGGTAGTCGGCGTCGAGCACGAGCATGTTATTCGCCTGGGCGACGCGGGTGAGGAACTCGTGGTCCAGACCCAGGTTGGGCATGGTGAAGCCGCCGCCGTGCCAGTTGATGAGGACGGGCAGGGGCGAGGAGGGTCGCGGGCTGCCCTTCTCGCCCAGGTAGTAGAGGCGAGCCTCGATGGTCCTGCCAGCGTCTCGCGAGGGGATCTGGAGGGCCTCGCTGTTGGAGTCGGCGGGGATGGCTCTGAGGTGGCCCTGGAAGCCGGCCGCGAGGGTGCGCATTATGGCAGCGGCGGTGCGCAGCCTGATGTACTGGAACGTGCCGTGGCCAGTCATGGTGTAGGATTATTGAACGATGTAGCTTCCAGTAGGTGAGGTAGGTTGGCTACTGGTGAAGGCATTTGATGGATGGGTGGTGAACCGAAACAGCAGAACCAAAGCATCAGCAGCTGCCGGCCCCTAAGTATCCTTTAGCACCATCAGACTGACTCACTCGGTGTGTTTGACCAACCCGACGATAAGAAAGGGACACCATGATTGATCCAAACTGAACGTCATGGCTCGAGAAGCATCCGATGATCCATGATGAATATGCAGAGCGCGGTGCTTTCTTTACTGGGTTTAGCGTCAGTTCTCATCAGCGAGCGAAAAGAGATGAGCTCGGATTAGAGACGACGCTCATTGGATCAGCTACGGCATTTACAGCTTCACCCTCCTCCTATTTGACGGGAATAGGCTAGTAGTGAGCCGGCTGGAGAATAACGGAATCCATGTCATCTAAATCGCATTTTTTAGGCATGTCAATGGCCAATTGATTGTCTGGAAACAGCTCTGATTTCAAGCACTTCTGGCGCTGTGCTCGTACTAGTTACCCTAGACCTGTTGATATATCATACAGTCGACCCTATCATACATAGATCATTATTGATTGAGTAGACGGGTTTGCATCCTCCAGTATGGTATCGAAACGGTCATATTAATGAATACGAGGAACGGTGAAACAGTCTTGGCAATCGGCGGAACGTGCGAGGTCCGCGTGGCTGAGCACATATAGCAGGGGTTTCGGAGCAACCACCACACGAACCTATCCAAAACCAATCGTCTAGACAAGGAGTTCCTTTATTGACTTGCTAGCTTAGTTGGAAAAGAAAACCATCTCAACCCCTATCCTAAGACAATACTATTTCCTAGGCCGGGTAGTCATTTTAAGCGAAGGATCAGGCCAGCCTCTCCATAGCTTGTAGAGCATAGACGATTGGATCCTCGTAGGTGACCGAGCGGCGAGTCTCACCCACAAAGAGTTTCAGACCAATCTTTCCATCTGTAAATGTTATGTTCTCAATCATATAGGCATCATCCGAAGAGAAATTCCAATGGCTCCATTTGGGAGACTCTGAACCATCCTCTGCAATGAATTGAACACCTGAAAGCCGACTACCGCGCCCAACTTCTTCATCAATGGGCGAGAGAAAGACCCGTAAGCTTTGAAGACGCTTACCTCCCAGTTCCCAAACATGACGCCGATAGTGCGGATGGACGCTCCTCTCGTCTTCAGTCTTCCTTCCATGTCCACTGAGGGAGCACCAGCACCAGTCGTTGCCATCTCCTTGGGTGTCAATAGGAGACTGTGGACGTATTTCCGGGCCAATGGTCAGCTCTTCCTTCGCGCCATCGGCGAATTTGAAGGTGATAGCAGACAGTGGGACTTGCTTTTCGTCGAAGCTGTGGCAGAGTATCACTCGCAGCTCCAAGAGAGGTCGACTGCAATCAAGCCAGGAGCGTGTCGGGCAACGATCCAATGCCTCGAGATTCCGGCTATTTATCCCCAGCGATTCCTTCACAGAGAAATCGCCAAGAATTGGACCTACCACTCGCACGCCGGTCGGAGCTGAGGGCTCCCATATACGGCCTTGACCGGGGGCGAGGTCAGGCATCTCGGGTACACTCTGGTGCTTGCCGTCCAGTTCAGCAGCAAAGAGGCACCCGACGGCCTCGAGTCTAGCCTTTGGTGTGTCACGACTAGTCCACCATCCGTACATTCCAACGAGATATGTAGATTGCTCTGTTTCAGGATCTCGAGGAGGGTACTGCACCAGCTCCTCTGGCCTTTGACTCGAGTGACCAACAACCAGCTCTCGACCGTAGTTCGTGACAATGTGTATCCCCTTGGGGATATGCTTCACGACGTAGTTTAGGGCGACGACTCTTTCTCCGCCTTGCCCGTCAATGATCAGAGACTTCATTGCGAGGTGGCGAGACCCAATTGAGCGGGTTGGACGGTTTCCATACTGCACTTCAATCCCTCCAAACAGCACATCGATGGAAATAGCTGTGATGTCTGCGAGCTCTGCATCTGTCGTCCCAAATATAAGTGGCTCCATGGGACTGAGGTCCTTTTCCATCGCATAACTCCAATACCCTGAGCTATGATCTGAAATCTGTAATCCAGGAGGGGGGATGTGCTTGCGCCAGAGGAACTTGGCGGCCTCGAGGTTCACGTGGTCCGGGGTCGAACCTTGCGAGCGGAATCTGCCAATGCCGTGAGAGAGGAGCGTGGGTTGTTGGAGCAAGGAGAGTCTCGAGAGCCCGCCTTCTGGTGAGCTAAAAGTCTCGATTCCGACGGCAAAGTGGTCCTTCGAAACATGGATCAGGCGTCTGTCACCATCGGTTGATCCGACTTGCTGAGACGTGGAGCTTCCGAGCAGAAACTCCATGCCAACAATCTTTCGAGAGCCTTCTTCGCCGTCTGGGAACTCGCGGCTCGTCACGATGATGCCGGTCAAGCAGTCATTGGCTGGTACTTGGACAGATTCAACAGTGGTAGGAAAGTTGAAGGCGTCTTGTGTCAGATCGCCTTGCTCAGAACTCTGCTGCCCTGCAAAATGAAGGCCCCTGATGAACTGCTCCTGGTCAAGGTGCACATGAAACTCAATATGGGCATCCTTTAGTCCTGCGATGGACTGCGCGAAATAGTACCTGAAGGAGGAGTTGACTTCAGGCTCTGGCCTGATAAGTCTTCGCAGACCTGTGGAGCTTGCGCCCTTGAGAATGTCGGGAAGATCTATCTGAGCTTTTTCCTTCTGCAGCTTTTCGTACGGCCCGGCTATCTGGGGCAGAATCTCCTCCCAGATGCGGCGACGGTTCGCAAGGCCGGTCATCTTCATGTGAGCAAGGGATTGATACCAATGGTTCTCTCGCAGATAGGGTGTATCGCGTGTATGCCTGCTTGCCCACCACATGTCTTTGTACACCCGATCCCAATGCTGCGTGATAACTTCCTCGATGGGGGAGGCTTCGAACAGCCAGGGCATGTCTGCCAATAACCTGCGCCTCCACCACGAATTGGATCCTTGTGTGCTGTAGAGTGCTCTGCATGTCTGGAACAGGCGCAGAGCGCTCGGCATGTCAAGATAGCGAAGGATAGACAAGCGGAGCTCTATTGGGAGCGCGGAGATCGGATCATAACCAAGTTCATAATCTGGCCTATAATTATACCAGGTAAGTTCTTCAGGAGCAGGCAGTCTGTTAAAGTACTGCTCAAGCCGCGGGATGTCCAACGGCGAATGCACGAAGTGTTCCTCGCCGCGGCTCACGACCCAATACTGCTCCTGGTTCTTGGACACGCTCCCGTAGTCCAGCTTCAGGGCTTGTGCATACTCTGAAGTATCCGCCAACTGACGCAAAACTTGGAAGAATATGTCGTTGTCAATGTCGTCACTTCTGTCATTTCCATTGTCATCATTTCCGTCAATGTCAATGGCATCACCCTCGAGATTGAGGTACTTGGCTAGTAGTGTCCGGCATGTCTGGTGGTAAGGCACAGCAAACGAGTGATGACCTTTGTACGCATACCTTGAGGCAAGACATCAGTTGTTAATGCAGATGCCCGGCAAAAGACTAGGCAGAAAGAACCATTGTACTCACGTTCGCAGGGATTCTTCCCCGAATAGTTCCATCACGGGGTCGCCTTCTTCCAGATCGAAGTAGCCATGGTCGTCATGGCTTGCAACGCCAGATACCCAGATCCTATATTCGTACCCAATTTAGCAGGCATAATTGCGGATGAAAGCAGCTGGCTCGCTTACCTGCTCAGTCCAGTACTTGCCGGATCTTCGCCAATGACTCTGACGTCTTTCAGCCATTCCAAGTCGCTCCTGTCCTCCTGCACGACTGTGGGATCGTATGTGTACTCTTCCTCGAATCCATCCTCCCAATAGGGCACGTTGACGGGTCCGCCACATATGGCACAGTAAACTTCGGCGCCCCCCATTGATGATGTTTGCGGATTTATGCTGGAGATGATGATGAGAGCGTGAAGTGAGACGTGAAAGAGGACGTGAAGTGAGGGCGTGAAGTTGGAAAAGGTGGAAGCAGGGAGGCCACTCCCCTCCCCGCAGTTGATCGAACCCTCTTTAGGCTGCCGCGCGCGGATCATACAGATACGCTTGGGGTTTCACCATTGGTCATGTCAGCAATCTTGTCCAATTGTGAAGAAGCATACAGGGATCGCGCCGTGAATTCACGTCACCGGTGTGGAGAAGACAGACTCTGCTATCTACTCAGAGTCGAATCAGGCGGTTTTCTTTTCTGGCCACAAAGACGGTGTGATTTGGCCTTTCATCGATGCTTCACTGCATGATATACTTGGATATGATGGGAAATATGTTCCGGTTCAGCGCATAAACATGGGCTTTGAAAATTAACTAGAAGTATCGAATATTCTACATTTATAATTTTAAACCAAGGTTTACTTTCAATCTCAATCAGTATTTGGATTATTATACGATTAGAATGAAGGCGAGACTTACCATGCACAGCCTTGACCTGCGTGTATGCTGAGAGAGCGTACTGGCCTAGCTCTCGACCGATCCCGCTCTGCTTCACGCCACCAAATGGAATGCCAAAATGACAGTCTTGGGAGCTGTTGATCTATTGATGCTGTTAGGACCAATTCAGTCAAAGTGCCTTCTGGAATACTCACCCAAACCATTCCTGCTTCAATCGCAGCTGAGATTGAATGACCTCTGGTAATGTCCTGTGTGAAAATAGCAGCGCCGAGGCCATACTCAGAGTCATTTGCCTTCTCCACGACTTCCTCCTCGGTCTTGAATGACTGGATAACAACGAAAGGACCGAAAATCTCCTCGCGCACGGCCGTCATATCATCCCGCACATCGGCAAAGATTGTAGGGTTGACAAAGTATCCTTGACCACTGGGAGAATCTCCGCCATGGAGGAGTCTGGCGCCCTCCTTCTTTGTTGTCTCGACGTAGCTGAGGATCTTTTCTTGCTGCAGTTTGGACACTTGGGGTCCATGGGTGACGTTTGAATCGAATGGGTTTCCTACAATGGAATTCTCCTTGGTGTATTCCACAAACCGAGACAGGAACTCCTCGTACACAGCTTCCTGGACATAAATTCTAGATGTCGAGGTACAAATTTGGCCCATGTTGCCTAGAGCTATGTTAGATTGCCTCAAGAATACGGCGCATATGAACAGAGGACATACTCATGATACCGACGTGTGACCACTTCACGGCTTGGTCAAGGTCAGCATCAGCAAAAACGATGAGAGGGCTCTTGCCACCAGTCTCGAGGGTAATGTTCTTCAGGTTGTTGGCTGCGGCCCTCATAATCGCCTTGCCGGTGGTAGTGCTTCCGGTGAATGCGATCTTATCGACGCCAGAGTGGCCAGCTAGGCTTGCTCCTGCGACCCTTCCCCAGCCATTGATGATGTTCACGACACCTGGAGGAAATCCTGCCTCTCGTATCAACCCAGCGAGGTAGAGGATTGAGAGGGGTGTCTGCTCTGCTGCCTTTAGAACTATTGTGTTGCCAGTAGCCAGAGCGGGTGCAAGCTTCCAGCCCGCCATCTGTGAAAGAGTTAGACCATTTGTGTCACTTTTGTAAACGATTGGGGGAGGATATATCATACCATGATGGGGTAGTTCCAGGGAATGATCTGACCACAGACACCTGGAAAACATCAGTACTTGATCACTTGAAAGATGAACCTAGGTCGCATTACACACCGATCGGTTCATGGCGCGTATAAGCAAGCTTAGCCTCCGATGTCTCAATAGCCTGGCCATGAGTCTTGTCCGCCCAGCCGGCATAGTACTTGAAGACCGAGACGATATCAGCAACATCTTCATCCAGGGCAGCTTGGTATGGTTTGCCATTGTCCCAGGCATCAATGGTGGCCAAGATGTGGCTGTCCCTCTCGCATAGCTCAGCCAGCTTATATAGCAATGAACCGCGGTCGGAAGCTGGGAGTTTGCGCCAGCTTGCAGCCTTGAATGCGGCTCTGGCGGCAGCTACTGCGCTGTCGACGTCTGCCTCGGACGCGGCGTCTACAGCGCAGATCACAGACCCATCATACGGATTGATTGACTCAATCTTTTCTCCGCTGGTAGCCGAGACGAATTCATTGTTAATAAAAAGACCTGCCTGGAATGTCAATACTATGGCGGAGATAAATACAAGGAATGCTAACCTGTGGGCTGCGTGTATGAAGTGCCGTTCGGGGCAGTAAGCTGGATGGACGCCATTCTTAGTAGGGTAGAGCCCGCGGCTTGGATATTCCTCAATATGTTTGTGGGTCGCAATGACATGAGGTTGAGAAGTCCCTTTCAAATTTTGGATATCCCTGTGGCTAAGAAGGTGTTGGAAAATGGAGAGTCATGAATAGTGATGAGGCAACGAAAGCGGCATATATACCAAGCTGTGTTTGGTGTCATTGTCATCCAACCGAGTCGTTGCTAAATCCGCTTGTCTAATATGGGAATTGGGATCCGATAGAAAGCAACTGGGGTAATCTAGGCTACATATTAGCATTTAATTGGCTCGGGTGCCTCATGACAGAAGCTCGCATGTACAAATCTCTAGCCCGAAAGAGTAAATACTCGACATTGCCGCACATGTAGAGTCTGCAGCATATCTCTGAGAGGCGATAAGAGAGACAGGCCGTGGAGTTTCACGTGTTCAACTTAGAAACATTGTGATATAGCTGGCAACAGTCTCCGAGAGCGTGAGTTGAGGTCTCCAGGGAGCTTCATGGCGTATTGGGCAGGAGACTCCGAGATATCCATTGGCACGGGGCTAACTTCTCTCGGCGCTCCAGGGATGTCTATTAGCCTTCAGCGAAAAGATACCAAATGTCCACTCGGCAACGTTCAGCCGAGTTCAGTGAAAACTCCTACAGTGCAGCTATTTCCTCTCGTTAAGGCAACCCTGCCCATATCACCAGCCATCCCCAGACTCATGCTCTCCACGCTGATTTACGTAAAATGTATTGTTGATCAGATCTCCTTGCTCACGTTGTTCTTATCACTATTACTCCTAGTTTTCCCCGCATAGTTCTTAGACAGAGGGCGCGCTCATACGCCGACACGCCTCGTCCGGCCTGGTTGGGGTTACTAATACAGGCAGGGAAGTCAAAACCAAACATAAATATCTGCCTTTGGTACCCTCGTCGTTTCACGGGCCCTTTGGTTTCCAACTCACAGTTCCCTGGCTACTTTACTTGTCCAAGAAAGTAGCCAAGACTTGCCATTCGATCCATCTCCACGACCGTACACCTCCTATTACTAGCACCAATCTCGACACAACATGTCCAACAAAACGAAATCGGAAGATGTGCGGCCAGCATCTTCCACTGCGGGAGAGGTCGATGTATTGAAACCTGAAATCACCGAAGAGAAGCTCGCAAAACGATATAGCCCGCTCTCTGTCATCGCTTTCGCCTTCACAACGACCAACTCCTGGGTTGCCTTCTCCTCTACCCTCGCCGCCCCCTTGATCTGTGGCGGCAGCCCAACGCTCATCTACGGCCTCATCGGCGGCGGTATCATCATGTCAATAATCGGTATCGGGTTTGCAGAGCTGGCCTCAGCTTTCCCTTCAGCCGGCGGTCAATACCATATTGTCTACATGGTGTTTCCCCCTAGCCTGCGACGCGGTGCAGCATTCTTCACTGGTTGGCTATCCATCATCTATATTGCAGCAGCCCTTGCTTCATGTAATATATTTGTCTCCAACTCTATCCTGTACCTGGTCTCGATTTGGGAGTCTAGTTACGAGATTCAAGCGTGGCACACCTACTTACTTCACATCGCATTGTGTATCGTCGCCTTCTTCGCCACATCTCGCTTTCCCGGGGCCATTGGACGCATTGGCATTGCTGTCTTTTGGCTGTCGCTCATAGGCTTCGTTGCCTCCATGACAGCGATTCTTTCTGTGAGCAAGGAGAAGCAAACTTCCTCATTCGTATTCAAAGACTTCCAAAACGTTAGCGGGTGGAATGATGGTTGGTCTGTTGTTCTTGGTATCACCGGTTGTTTGTGGGCCTATAGCGGTGTCGATGCGGCCACTCATGTGGCCGAAGAGGTCAAGAACCCCAGCCGAACAGTCCCAACCGCCATCTTCTTGAGTCTCGGACTAGGTATCATCACAGTCGTTGCATGGAATATCGCCATAATGTTTTCCATTACCGACCTCGACGCTCTCATTTCCTCACCAGTTGCTGTCCTCGAGGTTTACAGCCAGGCGCTTAACAACAAAGCCGCGGTGACCATTTTCGGGGTCTACTATATTGTCATGTTTTACACAATTGTGCTCAATCTTTTCATTTTCGGCGGAAGAACCTTCTGGTCCCTCTCACGAGACGGAGGCGTACCGTACTCCAAATACTTCGTCCATCTCCAGTGGGCCAGCCCCGTGCGGGCGACGTTCGTCATGCTCGTCTTAGAGATTGTACTTGGAGTTCTATATGTAGCCTCCACCACGGCCTACAACAGTTTCGTGAACCTCACGCTATTTGCCCTCAACATCACAGTCGCCATGCCCCAGGCTTGTCTTTTATTCCGTGGGCGTGGATGCCTCCCGGAGAGGGCCTTTTCACTGGGCAAGTATGGGTTAATTGTCAACGCCCTGGCAACTCTTTCTGTCATCTTCTTCTCCGTCACCTTCTCTTTCCCACCAGAGATGCCTGTTACCGGATCCTCAATGAATTATCTCATCGTAGTCATGGCTGTTGGGGTTGTGTTCATTGCCGCCATCTGGTGGGGAGGACTTCGCAAGACATTCACAGGTCCTCTTGGCGGCCACCTGCATGGATTCGATCACTGAGTGAACCGCTCACGAAGGAATTAGCGTTCTTCCAATTCCGCTACTAGAGAACAAACTTTTTATATCACAATAGTTAGAACAACTTGAAAAAAAAAAGACTTGTTTATTGATAAATGAATCCCTCTACAATTTGATAACATACTTTCCCTCCAACTGTGAACGTCAGCGAAGCTCGTATCAAGAGAAATTATGCGATCACACGTACCTTTCTTTCGATCATTTGTCCCATGAGATCTCCCAAGTCCTCCAATTTCGCCCACTTGATAGCCGGTGTTACCTTCCTCCGCTTGACAAATTCGAGGGCCTCGAGAATATCAGCTCGTGTGCCCACGGAAGATCCTTTCACTTTCCATCCATTGTCAATGAACATCAGAGGGTGAAATTTTACTTGAGCCTCCTCTGGGAGAATCGAGACGCACATCAGCGTGCCAAATGGGCCAAGCATGTCGAATGCTTTCTGGTAAGCGGCGGCGGCAGTGGCTGTAACCACCACTGCCTTGGCACCACGGCCATCTGTTAGGGACTTCACTCTCAGGCCGGCATCCTCGCTGCCAATGGCATCGACGTAATGCTCTGCACCCTGTGAAAGACAGTACGCCGCCTTGGACTCTCCAGCGTCAACGGCAATCACACGGTAGCCCATGGCACTCGCGAAGGCAACAGCCAGAGCTCCGACACCGCCGCCCGCGCCAGAAACGACCAACCATTGTCCGGGGGTCAGATCACACCCCTTGATCGCTTTGTACGCTGTAACCCCGCCGCAGAGGATTGGCGCAACTTCTTCATCAGGGATCTCGTCATAGGTGGCAGGCAGACGAGCAAGATATCTCAATGGGACGAGCGTATACTCGGCAAAGGTCCCGTCATACGCCTTTCCAGAATGCAAAGCTTCGACACACCGAGTCTCGCCCTCGTGGACGATGTCCACGCACATGTCACAAGTGCCACATATGTCTCTCAGCCAGGCCACGCCAACTCTTTGGCCGACTTCCACGGTAGGGTCGAGCGAGGACACATTAGAACCTAGGGAGGCAATCCGGCCGACACCTTCGTGGCCGAGAATGTCTCGCATCGGGCCCATGTGGCCGAGTGCCATGCCGAGATCAGATCCGCACAGGCTGGTCAGTGACAGTCTGACCAGAACCTCATTGGGACCTGGGACTGGGCGCGGCACATTTTTCACCTCAAACGTCGGTTTTGCGTCAGCATTTTGAGGGGACTGTTGTTGATTATCCCGGCATTAGTATCATCGTTGTTGAAGGGATGGGGTGGACATACAGTGAGAACTGCAACCTTGTGGAACTCGGTGGCAGCCATCCTTAAACAATCTTTGTTTCAAGCTTAAATGGATGCTCAAATGGGTTATTAAATGAATCAGTTGTTTCACTTGATTAGTTATGTAGAGGCTACTGTGCAATCGAGCTGTTGGAGATCACGGGATTATAAATATCTTCCAGGCACCTTACACTTCCGATGCCAAGAACTAATAGCGATTGATGCTGTCGAGAGTTGAAGGCTAGGTTGCCCAATTCGGATAATACATGACAGAGATGGGGAAGAAGAAAGGATCCTGATAGCGGCTTTGTGCCTGGTTGTACCCAAAGGCTAGAGACTCCGAGTTCCAGCGCTTGAACTCAATCTCGTCAGGGGATGCCCCGAACATACAAGGTTTCGTTATCTTGGGCTCGGGGTCTCCTGCCGTTAGCAGTTCCCCCGCAGTGGACTTCGCCAGGGACAAGTCACGCCCCCAGACGGTGGTAGGATTGAGTCAGTGATATCCACCAACGGATTTAGATGGTCCGGGGACGTCCGGGGAATATGCCTACCAGTCATAGACATCTGGGCTCCCAATAAGTGGCTGCTTGGCCTGGTGTCAAAATATTTTCATCTAGCCGGCCGACTCGAACTCAATTTTGAATGAACAAGGTTGCTGTGAGGTACCAAAAAAAGCCTATTTGTTATGGAGAATAGCAAAAATGAAATACATGATGAGACTGGGACTCGAACCCAGGAGGATTGCTCCACCAGGAATGAATGCTAAGGTAGCCTTAACCTGACGCCATAACCAACTCGGCCATCTCACCTGTTGTCAATCTGGTCGTTATTTGCCTCTAAGTCGGCTTGCCACCATACGAGCCACTCTTGCAACCCAACATCACTTCAGTTATTCGTCTTTCATTGAGCTATCTAAGAGCTTATTTCAAAATCTGGATTGAGTGACTTTATTTGATATGATCTCCAAAATCAGTGGACTGTCAACTGCTACGAACAAGGATAAGGCGAGACTCAAATTTGCTAACAGCCTTCAAGTCTCAGGCTGCGAGCTCCCAGAAGCTCGCTGTAGGGTTGAGAATCCATTAAAGTATCTTACCAAATTTAGTCAATAATAAAATGCAAATCAGGACGTGATGTTATGATAGGTCAAGATAAGGTATAACACAGAGCAGGGGAGGTATAACTACGAACTGCATTGGCTCGTATCGCGGTGATGTAGCGAGCAACATAGAAGTTCACAATGGCTGAATAGAATGGCCTTTTCTCACACATCTGAGCTCTCAGCGGAACCATGCTTTGGTGGTTTCACTAAGGAAGGGGTGAGTTTGGAAGTAGCCGTAGAATAGGAGATTGACCATATATAAAGACACGCAATCAAACTTGGCTTAATGGATGCCGATAACAACTCCATCAACTGACTTTAGAAGGCCAAGAAATTCACAGCTGATTTACAGATGCCTAATCTTGACAGATCTTATAAACTTTGGCCGCCGCTCCCGGCTACATTCAACAACTGGCCCTACTTGGTCCTCACGTAGCTGCAAAGCCTTTTGGTCATAACCCCGTCAAGGCTCCCTGTATTATTCGTCTCAAATCTTACACATTCAAGCCTAGTCCACATGTAAGGCGATTGAATGCCTTGCGGGCTGTGGCTACGCGATCTGTCCCATTGCTCTCTAGCTTTGTCCCTTCTGACATTATCTTAACTTTGTAACTGCATCCGCGAAGTGAAGGTCTACGCTTGGTTAATTGAGGACAAATACCGACCCCTATCGTTCGGTGTTTTCGTGATGACCGGAGAATTGCTATAGCCCCGAAGAGTTTACTCTTGAGAGACACTCCGAGCCTACAACGAACCGGATGCCGAGGATTTGATTATCGGGTACCGATGCAGGAGCAGCCCAAGCCGCGTCTTCCGATGCGAGTCTCTGGTGACCTTTTTCAAATCTTGTAGTTTCCAACATTGGGAAATCAGGGTTACATTATATAGGTAGAACTAAGGATAGATGAGATTTCGCAGCCTATAATATGAATGCCTATAATATGAATATTATCAATTCTAGGATGTAGCTGATCCGAGCACTTGCATGATGATTCGCAATGCCATGGCTAATAAGCCACGATCGGGCGGAGATGAGATCCAGGGATGGCGGCCAATCAAGCTCTGGCACGATCGTATCGTACGGCTGCGTTTAATTGACTCCACTGTTCAGCTGCTGTCGTACGAGGGCAGCAAGGGGGAGAGATTGGGAAATTCAGAGGTCATGTTGCTCGATCGGCAAATGCCAATGTCAAGGGCTTGGGGCATGCATCGTCAACAGGCGGCAAACAACTGTGGCCCGAGTATTGCTGGAGAAAGGCCTGCAGAATGATGCTCATACGACAGAAGCTCCAGATCACATGTTATCACATGCCAAGACACTGATCGGGGTCGCAAAAGCAATGCTGTCCGTGCATGAAAATCTCCACTAGAAACACAGACATCAGCGGTCATGCCAGAAAGATGTCTGTATCTGCTACAGGCGGTCACTAATGTGCTATAGGCTGCCATCGCTATAGCACAGGCTCTAGGCTCTACCGCTACAGCACTTACGGGAGCTAGGGGAGCTGGATCAAATGTTAAATATCTGCGGAATGGCGGTATGAACAGCTTGGGATGGAAGGATGAGCAAATCTGGGAGCTGAAATGATCAGCTTTATCCCTGCCGATCCGAGTCCCTGGAAGAAGAAAAGAAAAAAGAAAAAGCCGGGAATTTAAGCTGGCGGCTCGCAACGGGCGTGGCCACCAGCCCACCACGATCAAAATAGCAGCATCGTGAATTAACATCGTGCACCTATGTCATTATGACAAACTTGCTTTTTGCGTTTATTGATTGTTTTTCTCGCATCGCCCCGACTTTTCCCTCCAACACTCGTTCCACCGCTCTATTTTCTCTCTCTCACCTTCTTTCCCTACAGACTCAATCCCTTCATTGACCAGCGCTTCCATTTTCATTTGTTGTATCTTCCACCTAGAACCTCATAATCACCATGGCCTACACCTCCGGCATCATGCCCATGCTGCCGGTGCATGAGCCGCCGTTCACCATCGAATCGCCCGGCTACAAGCAGATGCCCGGCGAGACGATCCCCAGGCGCCATCCCAAGGCCAAGGACGGGCTGCTGACGCGGCCCTGCGACGGCGTCGACACCATCTACGACGTCGTCCGCCGCAGCGCCCGTCTCTACGCAGACAACAAGGCCGTCGGATACCGAAAATTAGTCAAAGTGCACACGGAGACCAAGACGGTGCGCAAGAACGTCGGCGGCAGGATCCACGAGGCGACCAAGGACTGGCAGTTCTTCGAGCTCGAGCCCGCCTCGTACCTCAACTACACCCAGTACGAGAAGCTCGTCCTGCAGCTCGGCTCGGGCCTGCGCAAGATTGGCCTGACGCCCGAGCACAAGCTGCACTTCTTCGCCACCACGAGGTATTCCTTCTCTACGGGACGCTGCTTGGTACTCTGCTAACTGCCGTAGCCACCACTGGCTCGCCCTCTCCCATGCGTGCGCCTCGCAGTCCATCACCATGGTCACGGCCTACGACTCCCTCGGCGAGAGCGGCGTCCAGCACTCCCTCGTCCAGACCCAGTCCAGCGCCATCTTCGTCGATCCCCATCTCCTCAAGACGGCGCTGACGCCCCTCAAGCGGTCCAACATCAAGACCGTCATCATCAACGACGAGTGCATCTTCGCCGCGGGCGGCGAAGCCCAGGCCTTCAAGGAGGCGAACCCCGACCTCCGCGTACTGACTCTGGAGGAGCTGCGGATCATCGGCGAGCGGAACATGGTCAAGCCCGTGCCGCCGCAGCCGAAAGACACGTACTGCATCATGTACACTTCCGGGACGACAGGTCACCCCAAAGGCGCCGTCATCACGCACGAGGCGCTCCTCGCTGGAGGTAAGGCAGGCCGAGTATGCACGTTGTGATCGGGATGCAACTGCTAACCATCAAATCTAGTCGCGGGCTTGTACGCCTGTGTCGACGAGGTCCTCACCGAAAAGGACAGAGTTATAGCATACCTCCCCCTCGCGCACATCCTAGAGCTCACCATCGAGAACGTGGCCATTTTCGGCGGCGGCACCCTCGGCTACGGCAACCCGCGCACCCTCTCCGACACCTCCGTGCGCAACTGCCTCGGCGACATGCGCGAGTTCAGGCCGACGCTCATGATTGGCGTGCCGCAGGTCTGGGAGACGATCAAGAAGGGCATACTGGCCAAGCTCGACGCCGCGGGGCCCCTCGCGCGGGCCATCTTCTGGGCCGCGTACGGCTTCAAGGACTTCATGATCAGGAACGGGCTCGCGGGCGCCGGCATGCTGGACGGCGTGTTTAGCAGGGTCCGCGAGCAGGCTGGCGGCGCGCTGCGGATCACGGTCAGCGGTGCGAGTCCCGTCTCCGACAGCACGAGGCACTTCCTCGGCATGGTTCTCGCGCCCATGATCGTGGGGTACGGGCTCACCGAGACGACGGCCAACGGGCTGCTGGGCTGCCCCCTGGAGTACTCGCCGGATTTCATCGGGCCTGTGGGGGGCTCTGTTGAGATCAAGCTCGTGTCGCTGCCTGAGCTCGGGTACTTGACGGATGCGCCGAACCCGACTGGGGAGATCTGGATAAAGGGTCCCTCTGTCATGCAGGAGTACTACAACGATCCTGAGGAGACGATCAAGGCCTTCACTGTGGATGGCTGGTTCAAGACCGGAGATGTTGGCGAGCTAAATTCTCAGGGTCATATGCGCGTCATCGACCGGGTGAAGAACCTCGTCAAACTTCTCGGCGGCGAATACATATCTCTGGAAAAGCTTGAGTCTGTGTATCGAGGGTCGCAGCTCGTGACCAATGTCATGATATACGCCGACCCAGAGCGATCGCGCCCGATTGCGGTCGTCACACCCAACGACAAGGCGCTTTTGGAGGTCGCAAAAACCCTCGAGGTCGATGAAGATAGCATCCATTCGAGCCCCGAGATTGTCGAGGCTGTTCTAAAGGATCTTCAGCACGTTGGCAAGACGGGTGGTCTGACCAGCCTGGAAACCATTGCTGGAGTGGCGGTGATTGACACTGAGTGGACTCCCCCAACCGTAAGTACCAGCTCGTGATCGTATGAAGCCAATGAATACGGCAGCCGCTAACAATGTTCACAGGGTCTTGTTACGGCAACACATAAACTCAACAGAAAGGCAATCTGCGATAGATTCAAAAAGGAAATAGACGAGGTGCTCAAAGCAACATCCCATTGAAACGACTGAATGACAAAAAAAATGGCGTTGAAGGAATGATTCTCCCTTGCTAACATAATTATAGTTTATAATACTGTATGATTATAGCCTGATAAATTAATAGACACTTGATTAGATGTTTGCAACAAGCTTGAATACTTGAACCACTCAATTCAGACAGCATTGAAGGTATCAATATAGCGAGCGCCCGGGCAATAATACTACTTGTCATGCTTTTTGGTGGATGAAATACAGCTCCGTGAGAGAGCATCTACTAATGTCACTATGTTATCTTCTACAAACACTAGGAAGCATGCTCTCATGAATGTCTCCCGGCTGGGAAATGATGATTCGAGGGTTAGTGACAATCTTGACGACGCGTGCCCGTCTGCTCATATTGGACCGGGGGATACCATCTAGAAGAGATATGCACACACATAGCATACGTGCTACAAGCTATGACGTGTTCTAATTTCCATCTACTCTCATGGCATTGAATGAACAGTGTGGTGAGTGGCAACATTCAAAGGCAGGCATCTCCCATGGCAGTCACATTCCAAGGCAATGGGCAAGGATGGAAAAAATTCGTCCGGAAGAACGGTCTCGAACGCATTACATTGCAATTTTTCCCTAAGTACGCTACTTCTCAATCAAACAAAACATTAAATCGCTCGAGTCCAAATCGTAATAATCACCCCAAACGAACCTCCTCTCGTCTATGCGTGGTATCAATGTTGGAGGTAACTATTGGTGCGGAGCCTGCGGGTGAGGCTGGTGAAGCGGCGGCGATGACTGCTGAGGAGGGGGAGACTGCTGAGGATACGGTTGCTGGGCATACTGCTGCTGGTCGTACTGCTGCTGGTATTGCGGCTGGGCGTAAGGCTGCTGAGGGTAGGGTTGTTGTTGAGGGTAAGGCTGCTGGGGATAATACGCCCCTTGCAGCTCGGCGGGCTGCGTCTGTTGAGGGTACCCGGGCAGCTCGGACGGCACGTACACGGATCCGACTTGGGTAGAGGGGGTCGGCGTCGTCTTTGGAGGCGCGTATGCCTCGTTGTATCCAACAAAAGGCTGGCCGCCCATGTTGGGCTGGGCCATCTGGGGCCCGCCGGGCGATGGCTGCTGCGGAGCCTGAGTCTGCTGCTCGGCGTTGCGTTTCCGCAGGAGCTTGACGATCCAGATGAGGAGGATGACGATGGCGATGGCGGCCAGTCCGCCGATGATGGGACCCGCGATCCACGCGAGATTCTGTCCGCCGCCGGACTGGTCACTTCCGTTGCTGCCTCCGATGGCGGTTCCAGTCGCCGCACCCGTGCTTGTCGTCGACGATCCAAACACGATGATCCTGGTGCCGTCTGTGCTGGTCGACTCGTCCCCTGCTGACGATGAGCTTGTTGCGGTCGAGGTCGAGGTCGAGGTAACGGTCGTGGTCCTCGTGGTGGTCCTCGCGGATGAGGAGGAGGTTGAAGCACTTGTCCCGGGAGTCCTGAAGTACGTCAACCGAGGCGTCGTAGCCGAACCCTGGAAACATCGGATGATCCCGAGGTATGAGGAGGCGCCCGGGCTCTCCATTACTGTAGCAGTGTCGCATACTGGATACGGCGAAGTGCTGAACCCGTGAGGTCAGATATTGGAACATCATTAGGTCGGGGCAGACCTCTATCGTCGGACAGAACAACACTTACCATACAACGGTAGTGGAAGAATAGAGGACGGTGCCCACACCAGAGCATCCCGTGGGAATGCCTCGCTGATCAGCGCAGGCCGCCCAGTTCCCCAAAGTAGTGTAAGAGTTTGGAGAGCATCCTACAGAAGCATCTAGGAAACATCAAAGATTAGCCTTGTGTCATAATATCCTGTCAAGCAAGGAGAGTTCTCACATGAGGAGCCGGCACTCGTCCAGCCCAAGAGATCATCTGCCTGGCGCAGATCCAACTCATTGTGTTCCGGAGCCTGAGTGATCTGCGGCTCCGTGGGCTGACCACCGACATTAGGCAGCACGGCGAGACCAAGCAAGCCGACGAGAGGAAACACAGCCACCATGATTTCGGCTGAGCGTGAGACAGCTGCCGGAAACAACCTGCAAGTATTACGGTGGCTTGGAGAGGATCAAAGACATGAGGGGCTCGATGGGCATAAATGAAAAAGCATTCCGGGCTGGGATCTGCTCTAGACCGGCGCCTTGGGAGGCCGATCTAACCCATTCATTTTAAAAAGCTGCATGGGGTCGAGGAAGTGCTTATTGGTCTGGGAAGAGAGCTGAGCCTGGCGTGCATATGGAAATGATAGTCTGCCACATCCAGCAAATAAGCTCTTCGCACGATGCGGAGACCAAGGCTTAGCTCGCCCAAGAGGCCCAGGGTCGAATCCAGCTTGATTCATCGATGCAGCCACCCCGACGGGCTTGGCTGGCTTGGCTCGTCAACATTGCCCCCTTCCAGTCAACGGTCAACCATTAGCATGGGAGGCAAGCCCGTCACGCGGAGAAATGGGGAATAACGGCTCTTGTATCCCGATGTATTTATAACTTGGGAGGTGCTCAATATCATCCGATATCCACACCGTCAAACGGCTCAGACAATGGTCTTTGTTCCCTCACCCTATTCATCCTTCCGCGGGCCCATGTTTCCTCAAGAGGCACAGTCCACGCTAGTAGGGATATCAGCCCTGTTGTGATTGGCTTTTGTTCGAGAGGGTGCTCTTTTTCTGAGCTGGTTGCTCTGCATGTTCTGCTCACTTGGCTGTCCGCTCTAGCTGGCTGGTTCGAGGGAATGGGCCTAATGAAATACGAGGTGGTGGAAGACCTCAGCAGCAGAGGATGGTCGCCGTACAGAAATACATTTGCTCTCGCTAATGTTCAGGCAGCGGAATGATAGCCGTACTGAATGAAATACATCTTGTTCTCCCATATTTCCAATGATAATCCCCTCAACCAAGTAAAGTGCCAGTGTAGTGTCAGCCCGCCCCGCCTGAAGACGACATAGATGGGCATTTCGCATGCGTTCAGAGGCCTCAGCACTCGGGTCTCGCTTCCCGCTGCATTTCCACAGGATCCAGCACATGGCCAGATGCTATGGCGTGCGCTAAATTCGGATGTAATTTGCTGACGAGCGATATGTCACCACCTTTAGGTCGGGGCTTGGGAAATCATCGCGCTGTATCGCAAATCGTCAAGAACCAGCAAGATATAAAAGCGTCATCGATTTGTTTGTGCTGAAGCTAGACAGAAAGCTCCTACTATTACCATTTGTACCTCCACTGCTCCAGCCATCTGGGTAAACACAAAGACCTTCAACCGGGTCTTTTGCTTCGGTTGCGGTGCCGAGATTCCCCAAATGCCCGAGTGGATCAGCCCTGCAAGGCCTGTTTCAGATTTATTACGCTTGTTGTTTTCAGGGCTTGGGCAGCTACAAGGGCGATGAGATGAGAGTGGGCATTCAAGGCAGTCTTCTCCTGTGGTGGTCTTGCAAGGAAATGGTCATCAATTGAGCCGAATATCTGGCTTCCATCGCTATCGCTATCATTTCAAATCGTAGGCTCATCAATATGCCAGTAATTAAATCGTATCCTTGAGTCAAAAATCCATCGCCCGTCAGTCCAAAACATCATCGTCGTCAGAAAAGGATCCCGGCATCAACGCGCTCTGAATAAAGTCCTCTAGTTCCCCGATGGGAGTCCCCCGTCGATCATACCACGGGCGCAACGCAGCAGCCGCTTCCTGAGAATGTTGAGCCGGAACGAGTTCGTACGGGTGGTGCACTTCGCGCAGCGCAGATCCAGTCAAAACCTCCCTTCGCTTAAGCAGCGCCTCGACAACGTCCTCCTTTCCTTTTTCCGCAGCGTAGTCGAGCGGAGTCTTACCGTTCGCATCTGGCAGATCTGCGTTGATGGCCGGCAGGGCGAGCAGCTCTCTCACCATAAAAGCGTCGCCCTCCTTGCATGCAATCGACAGTGCCGGTGATGAACCAGGGCCGAAGAAGTTCACGTCGACCAGGCCGGTCTTGGCCAGCTCTCCCACAACATCGCGCTGACCATGATTCGCAGCGTGGAGGAAGGGTGTGAAGTTATTGCGGTCTGGCCTATCCAGCTCAATGCCTTCCTTGCCGATCAAGAGTCGAACGATTCCTACATGTCCCCTACGAGCAGCAATGGCGAGAGGTGAGCCGATGACATGGGGAGGGTTTGCGTTGATCCAGACGCCCTCTGCAGCCAGCAGCACTTTGGTGGCTTCTTCCTGTCCAGCTGACGCCGCAAATGTAAGAGCGGTGTTGCTGCAGTAGACTTCATTTACGTCAGTCCCCCTTGCCAATAAGATCTGCACCACTTCGGTCATTCCATTGGTGGCGGCCTGCTGGAGAATGGTAAGGTCGCGCGGCGATCCCGCGTCGAGATCAATCCCTTCAGTGTCAAGCAGAAGCTTCACCGACTCCGTCTGGCTGCATTTGACTGCGCGCCTCAATGGCGTGAACCCAGCGACGTCGACAGAATTGACATTCACTTTTCCCGTGCTAATGAGCGCCCTCATTATCTCCAGGTGGCCACCTTCAGCCGCCTTTGACAAGGGCGTCGAGCCGCCCGAGTCCTTTGCGTCGGGGTCGATGCCCTCGAGGGCGAGCAGGATGCGACAGACTGGCAGCCTTCCCTGTGCGGCCGCCTGGAAGAGAAGGGTCATTCCTTGATTATCCTTGGCAAATGGGTCGAACCGACCCGAGTCGAGGAGCACGCGGAACACGGCCTCGTTTCTGAGAGCTTCGGGGGAATAGAGCATGCTGCGCCCGAATTGCCGCGTCTTGGTGATGTCGAGATCCTCATCGATGGCCAGCTGGAGCCGAACCAGGTCGGCGTGGCCATAGTAGACGGCCTCTCGGAGTGCCATGTCGGCAAGCTTCCTCCTGTTCTCCGACCTCTTGGCATTGTTGGCCTGCATGGCCTTCCTGAATGTCTCCAGAGGGCCGCCGGACCTGGCTGCGCGGATCAAGGCGATGCGGCGATAGACCTCGCCATAGCCATGCTTCATGTGGTCATACCTCGCAACGTTGCGGGCATAGAGATACGAGTTCAGCTGGGTGTACTGCTGGCGGCTGGTGCGAGCGAGGTTGTTTACGTCGGCGTCCTTCTCAAGGTAAGAGGCGACATCCACGAGCAATTCGGTGGGCATGTCATGGAGACCCATCGTGTCGGCCCGCCGCGATGAAGCGCCAGTGAGCTGGTGATGTTTGCAATCAATCGCTTGGGGGGGGATGAAGATATTAACAATAAGCCTGTACGTGATGAGGAGAAGTGCGAAGGAGAGAAGCGGGAGCTTTGGAGGAGCTTTTAGGCAACGGCCCCTCTGGAGCGTTGCATAGCCCCACACAACCAACAGCAGACATATCAAATAGGAGGACAGATACAAACAGAGTCACAGCCAATGTTGCTTTGTGAGTAATGCGGGCAGATTATTGTTGGGGAGTGGAATAGACATTGATTAATACTGATAAACAGCCTACCAATTACCACGGCTGGATCTTGCCGTCCCTCAGAATGACCTTTCCTACCTGGCCGTCCCGTTTGCCCTCCAGCACCTCCCGCACAAATGGCCCAGCAACGACTGGATCTTGAGCGCCCTGGCTCTTGTTATGCTCAGGTCCTTTGCCCAGCCCAGACGCCAGATACCCCGGTGACAGCGCCCAGACTTTGACGCCGTCGTTGTGCAGCAACCTCGCCCAATCCCTACAGAGACAGAAGACGGTCAACAAATTCCTCAAAGGTGTGCATACTTATCGAAAGAAAGAAAACAAGATCTTACCTCATCATCATGTTCATGCCAGCCTTGGCCGCTCGGTAGGATGCCACGTTGGGAAGGTTCTTAGGCCAGCCCTTGGGCGGGAATTGGTCGAGTGGCAGAAGCTGCTTCTCGGCGTTCTCGAGAGAAGATGTCCCGCTGGCCATGAACAGGAGCCTGGGGTCCGAGGACTTGAGCAGGAGGGGGACGAATGTCATTGTCATTATGTGGGTGCCGGCGGTGTTGACATCCCAGCTCTTGGCCCATTCCTGGCGGAGTGACAGGGCGCCTTCTGCGTGCTGTTGGTTGAACATGGCGCCTGATCATGGATGTGAACGGTGTTAGCCACGTCTTAAGAAGTAGAGATATGGTCTTAGTGAAGTGACATACCTGCGTTGTTCACCAGAGCATCAAGGCGACCGTACTTGGACTGCACGGTCTCAAAAGCAGCCTGGATCGAGTCGTCACTCTCCACATCTACCTGGATGGCGACCGGAGTGCTCTTTGTCGAGGGGAACTCGGCGAGGACATCCTTGGCTGCCTGCTTGGCCTTTTCAATCGAGCGACCGCCGACGAGAATCTCATAGGCTTGGGCAGAGTCGCAGAGAGCGCGGACCATCTGGTAGCCCAGCCCGGTGTTGGCGCCAGTGATGAGGACGATCTTCTTGTCCATGTTCAGATCTGATGTGATGATTTGAGAGTAATATTAGGTACTAGATCTTCTCGATACAGGGTGAAAACGACTGGAATCTGGAACGAGACGGCTCTCTCTTATACGTCAACCCATCACCAGTATCATCCGTCTGGGGCGCTAAACTCCGTCGAGTGAAGCCGCTTCTCGGCCGACATCTCCGTCGCCAAACCCCACTGACGGAATCTTTATCTCTTCGCTCTCCTCCTCGCTTCTCCCTCGCGCTTGAGGATCGGATCGGAGTTAGATCAAACTCTCCCATATCGATGATACGGCTCCCTAATCATGCCGTCACCGAACTGCGTGGGGCCTCTGTAAAGCGTCGAATCTCCTCCACGGCCCACAGCCAGTGGCCATGACCTCCCAAACAATCGGTCGCGGCATCACTCGGAACAGAGAGCGCCTGGCCTGCACCGAATGCCGTCGCCGGAAGCTCAAGTGCAATCGCTCTCTCCCCTGCAGTGCTTGCACTCGGCGCGGCGCCGGTGACTCCTGCGTCTACCAGCGGTTTCCCAGCGGCGAGGGCGAGCCCAAGGTACGCGCCGAGGAGAGACTTGAGCAGCTGGAGAAGATTGTCAAGAACCTCATCAGCGAAAGCCCCAATGATGTCTCGGCAGCAGCGTCGTCGGCCTGGGAGGATACAGTGCACGTAGCCTCGTCTTCGTCGAGCTCCAGCCAGCAGCCAGCATCGACCCATCTGAGCTCGGCTCTGGAGGATATCCAAGAGCTGAGGTCGGCCATTGCAGCCGACGGTGAAGACGATGAGCAACCGGTGGCCAGCGTTCACCAGCATCAGGGACTTGAGCCCGTGGGCATTTTATTTGGATCATCTGCACCAATGACCCTTCAGAAAATACTGGCTACATATCTCCCGTCGAGGCAGAATGTCGACCGTCTCATCTCCGCGTACTTCAGAGCCCAGTCGATTGCGGCACCATTCATCCATTCCCATCACTTTAGAAGGCTGTATGCCTCGTTCTGGGCTCACCCATTGAAGACTTCGCCCAACTGGATTGCCATTCTCTTCTCTATCTGTCACATCTCAATCAACGCCCTCAAGCTCCAGGTTGACGACGGCCCGCCAAACAAGAATTCCAGGTTCTCTCAGGCAGCTGCATATTGCCTGGCCCTCGGGGAATATTACCGTCCCAAACCTTTCGCAGTCGAGGCTCTCCTCCTCTTCATACAGTCACACTGCCTCACGAGCCTGATACTCCCACCAGACACGGCGCCCGTGATCGGAACCCTGATACGCGTCGCAACAGCCATGGGCTACCACCAGCCGCCAACGCGCCCAGACATCCTCACCCCCTTCGAAACGGAGATGCGCCGGCGGACGTGGTCCCTCTGCATGCAGCTTGACCTGCTCGTCTCATTCCATCTGGGCCTACCGAGCACGATGAGATTCTCCAGCTGGCCGTGCGAGCCCCCCAGAAATCTCAGCGACTCCGACTTTGACGAGTCCAGCCTGGAGCTACCCCCCTCGAGGCCAAGAACGAATCCTACGGGGACGGTCTTCATCATCGAAAAGCACAATTTCATGGTCGTCTTTGATAAGATTCAGCATCACGCACTATCCGCCCGATCACGTCCCCCACAAGACGTAGAGAATGAACTCGTCGAACTAGACTCGGAGATGCGGCGAGTCCACAACGGGCTCCCGCCGGCCCTGAAGCCGCTGGCCATGAAGGACTCGGTCTTCGACTCCCCCAACATCATCGTCACCCGGCTCTGCGTCACGTTCCTCTACTGCAAGTGCCTCATCGTGCTCCACCGCCAGCACGTCCTGACCAACCGCCCGGGCAGCCTGCGGACGTGCTACGAGGCCTCGGGCCTGCTCGTCCGGCACTTCTGCGACTCGTACGACGAGTTCGCCCCGGGCGGGCAGGTGGAGAGCGAGAGGTGGTTCATGTCCAGCCTGACGGTGCACGACTTCCTCCTCGGGGCCGTGGCGCTGTCGCTCGTGAGCCTGGCGAGCTCGCGGCCGGGCGCCTCGTATGCCGTGGATAGAGACGTCGCGGTGGGCCTGCTGGAGAGGAGCCGGGACATCACGGCCAGGCTGGAGCCTACGAGGGGGCACGAGACGGGCCATGTGCGGCAGGTGATTGAGAGCACGCTGCAGCAGCTGCAGGCGTCGGGTCCGTCGTCGTCCTTTTTGCCCGACAAGGCGGTGGCTTCTACGTCTGATGATTTCCGGATGGATTGGGATATGGGGCCGCAGGACACGGCCGACTCGCTCTGGGACGAGTTTCTGGCGCAGTATTTGAACATGGATGGGGAGGAGATTATACCATTCTGATTATATGTATTTACTATTTTTTGGTATTTTCTCTTACTATAGGTGTGATATATAAGTCCGCCTAAGTTATATAGGTAATACCTAATAGATACCCTAGCTACTAAAACAGGTAGAGAAGTACCTATATATTATTAATAGCTCTATATAATCTAACTCTTATAAATCCCTATCCCTTTTATTAGTTTAACTTACTATCTTTAAGTATTAATTTAAGAAGGCCTTATAATAATAGTATTTTTAATATTTTTAGTATTTAATATAGCTACTTTCTAATCTAATAATATATTTTAAGCCCTCTAGATAATTAGTATATTTTAGAATAATAAAATCTCCTTCTAATCTTATATATTTTAAATCTATTAGTTTAATAAGAAAATCTTTCTATTATTAAAGTTATTTTTTAAAGTTTAATATAATAAAAGATTTAATAGTAGTAAGTATTAGTTTATAAAAATAGTTTTTATTTTCTTTATTAAGAAGTTTAAAAATAAATTCTTTTATAATAATAGATAATTA